GCGGCTGCTGAGCCTGTCCCGTGTGCAGCGGCCACACAACACGCGTGGACACGCATGCGCACACACAGGCACCCTCCCATCTGCTGCTGGCGCCTGGGGCTTAGCCCCCCCCGCCCCGCCCTGACATCCAGGGTCACCCCCCCCCGCTGCTGAGCCTGCAGGAAAGTGGATTTGGGGAGGGCGGCCCCGGGAGACGGCCCTGGGGAGGGGGGACGCTCCCCAGCGCCCCCCGCCCCCGCGGAGAGAAGCCCAAATCCCCAGATCCGACCTCGCCCGCGGTCAAAGGCGCAGGTGGAGGCAGGGTGGGGTGACCTCCCTCTGCACTTTGGTCCAGCGCTGGCCCCTCGGCGATAGTAGCCTGGGCGGGGAGGGGGCCCCCAGCCCCCACCGCTCCTGGCTGTTGAGATAACGCAGCCCGGGAACCAGCTGTCCCCTCCTCCCCTCTGGGCCGGGCTCAGAGCCAGGCCGCCCCTCCCCCTCGCGGCTGTAGCCAGAGGCGCCGGGTGCACCTGCCGACGGGAGGGGAGGTTCCTGTGTGGCCCCCGTGGCTAATACGGCGGGGCCGGCACCACCCCACGTGCCGAGGGGGGACCGCGGCTCCGCATGCCCGCCCCATGCGTGTCAGGGAGCAGAGTTGAAGGGAGACTCGACGTCGCGGAGGCGGGGTGCCCTGGCATGGGGACAGGCACGCCTACTCCGTGCCTGCAGGGCTCGCGGCGGGCTCTCGCTCCCAGGGCCCAGGGGACACCATGGGCGGCCTCTGGCGGCCTCTCGCACCCAGGGCCCAGGGGACACCATGGGCGGCCTCTGGCGGCCTCTCGCACCCAGGGCCCCGGGGACACCATGGGCGGCCTCTGGCGGCCTCTCGCTCCCAGGGCCCCGGGGACACCATGCGGTGGCCTCTCGCACCCAGGGCCCGGGGGACACCACGGGCGGGCTCTTGCACCCAGGGCCCAGGGGACACCATGGGCGGCCTCTGGCGGCCTCTCGCACCCAGGGCCCCGGGGACACCATGGGCGGCCTCTGGCGGCCTCTCGCTCCCAGGGCCCCGGGGACACCATGGGCGGCCTCTGGCGGCCTCTCGCTCCCAGGGCCCCGGGGACACCACGGGCGGGCTCTCGCACCCAGGGCCCCGGGGACACCATGGGCGGCCTCTGGCGGCCTCTCGCTCCCAGGGCCCCGGGGACACCATGGGTGGCCTCTCGCTCCCAGGGCCCCGGGGACACCATGGGCGGGCTCTCGCACCCAGGACCCCGGGGACACCTCTGGAGGCCTCTTGCTCCCAGGGCCCCGGGGGACACCATGGGCGGGCTCTCGCACCCAGGGCCCCGGGGACACCATGGGCGGCCTCTGGCGGCCTCTCACTCCCAGGGCCCTGGGGACACCATGCGGTGGCCTCTCGCACCCAGGGCCCCGGGGACACCATGGGCGGCCTCTCGCACCCAGGGCCCAGGGGACACCACGGGCGGGCTCTCGCACCCAGGGCCCAGGGGACACCATGGGCGGCCTCTGGCGGCCTCTCGCTCCCAGGGCCCTGGGGACACCATGGGCGGCCTCTCGCTCCCAGGGCCCTGGGGACACCATGGGCAGGCTCTCGCACCCAGGACCCCGGGGACACCTCTGGAGGCCTCTTGCTCCCAGGGCCCCGGGGGACACCATGGGCGGGCTCTCGCACCCAGGGCCCCGGGGACACCATGGGCGGCCTCTGGCGGCCTCTCGCTCCCAGGGCCCCGGGGGACACTATGCGGTGGCCTCTCGCTCCCAGGGTCCCGGGGACACCATGGGCGGCCTCTCGCACCCAGGACCCCGGGCCACCTCGAGACCACCGCCCCCTGGCTCCCGCGTCTCCGCCCCCGCCCCTCTGGGAGCCCCTGGCTGCAGTAATGGCGTATTCCTCCAGGGGGCGCACGCGCACACAGCCTCCAGGTGCAGACGCAGCGGGGGGGCGGGGCCGTGGGGGTGTGACCTCCGCTCCCCCCTCGCCCCCAGGAGCTGTCACTCTGCTAAGCCTGTATCTTCTGTTCGGCTACGGGGCGTCTCTGCTGTGCAACCTTATCGGATTTGTGTACCCCGCATATGCTTCGTGAGTGCGGCGGGGCGGGGCGGGGCGGGCGGGGCTCGCGGGCCGCGCTGACCCCGCCGTCCTCCCGCAGGATCAAGGCCATCGAAAGCCCCAGCAAAGACGACGACACTGCGTGGCTCACCTACTGGGTGGTGTACGCCCTGTTCGGTCTGCTCGAGTTCTTCAGCGATCTACTCCTGTCCTGGTTCCCTTTCTACTACGTGGGCAAGGTGGGCGGGGCCGGGGCGGGGCAGGGGCGGGGCCGGGGAGGGGGGCAGGGCGGGGCGGGGGCGGGGGCTGGGGGGCGGGGCTGGGCTGGGGGTGGGGCTGGGGACTGGGGGCTGGGGCTGGGGAGGGGGGTGTGGGGGCCGGGCGGGGCTGGGGACTGGGGCGGGGCTGGAGACTGGGGGCTGGGGCTGAGGCGGGGGGGCCAGGGCGGGGCGTGGCTGGGGCCGGGGGCGGGGCGCGGGGCGGGGCTGAGGCGGGGCGGGGTCTGGGGGCCGGGCCGGGCTGGGGGACCGTGGCGGGCCGGGGAGGGGGCTGTGGGGGCCGGGCCGGGGCTGGGGGCTGGGGCCGGGGGGCGGGGCGGGGCTGGATCCGGGGGCGGGGCCGGGGGGCGGGGCGGGGCTGGGGCCGGGGGCGGGGCGGGGCCGGGCCGGGGGACCGGGGCGTGGCCGGGGCTGGGGAGGGGGGTGTGGGGGCCGGGGCGGGGCCCAGGGGCGGGCGGGGTCCGGGGTGTTGCTGGGGTCCAGGGCGGGGAGGGGGCCGGGGCGTGGCTGGGTCCGGGGGCGGGGCGGGGTCCGGGGCGTGGCTGGGGTCCAGGGCAGGCGGGGGCCGGGGTGTGGCTGGGCCGGGGCGTGGCTGGGTCCGGGGGCGGGGCGGGGTCTGGGGCGTGGCTGGGTCCGGGGCGTGGCTGGGTCCGGGGTGGGGCGGGGCCAGGGCGGGGCTGGTCCGGGGCGGGGCCGGGCGGGGCGTGGCTGGGGCCGGGGGACCGGAGCGTGACGGCCGCCCCTCGCGCAGTGCGGCTTCCTGTTGTTCTGCATGAGCCCGGGGCCCTGGAACGGCGCCCTGCTGCTCTACCACCGGCTCGTGCGCCCGCTCTTCCTGAAGCACCACGCGGCCCTGGACAGCGCCGTGAGCAGCCTCAGCGGAAGAGCCCTGGACGCCGCGGCCGGCCTGGCCCGGGACGGTGCGTGCCTGGGGCGCCCCCGCCTCCCGCCTCCCGCCTCCCGCCGCGCGCCTCCGGCCGCCGCCTGCCCCCTCTCACTGTCCGCCTCTCTTTCCCACGCTGTCGGGGAGCAGTTCTGCAGGCCCTGGCTCGGGGCCGGGCTCGCGTCACCGCTGCGGGGGCCGGACCCCCTGCCGCCCTGGAAGCCGAGCGTAGGTAGCCCGCGGACAGGTCTGCGCGCGTGCGTGCTGGCGCGCGTGTGCCTGGCCGTCTTGGCCACAGAGGCCGCCTGGCCCCTGAGCCGGCCCGTCCCTCTCTCTGCAGCCCAGCCAGGCCTGAGCCCGCAGCACCAGGACAAGTGAAGAAGCAGGCCAGCGCCCGCGCGGACCCCCCGGCCAGCCGCCAGGGCAGCGCCTCGGGGTCCCGGCTGTCCACCGGGGCCAACAAACAGAGCAGCTCGTCGGGCGCCCCGCTGTCCAGCGAGGCCAGCCACACGGGCAGCGCCTCGGGGCCCCAGCTGGACTCGGAGGCCGGCCAGCAGGGCAGCTCGTCGGACCCCGAGCTGTCCACGGACTCCACGGAGTCCAGCCAGGACAAGGCCCCCGAGCCCGCCCTCCCTCCCAGCTCCGGCAACTCCCAGCCCCGCTCCCCCGACACCCGCAGCTCCGGGTCCCGGGGCTACGTGGCCTCCGGCTCTGCCAGTGGTTCCCAGCTGCCCCACAAGGCCCAGGGGCAGCCGCGGGCACAGCCACGGGGACAGCCGCGGGGCCAGGCTCGGAGCCGAGGCAGCTCCTCCAGCCAGCGCCAGCTGCGCAAGCCCCGCTCCATCGTGTCCACCAGGCCCCCTGGGGCCCAGCAGGGTCCCCAGCCGCGTCCCCCGCCGAGACCCCAGCCGCGACCCCCGCCGAGACCCCAGAGGCCGACCCAGCAGGGTCCCCAGCCGCTCCGCCAGCCACGTCCCCACCAGGGTCCCAGCGCCCCCTCCGGCCAGGCCCCGCCCCTCGTCCAGTCTCCCAGTGGCACCAGCATCCCGGCACAGCCCCCCAGCCAAGCCCCCAGCCAAGCCGCCAGCAAGCCGGGGGCCCCGGCGCCCCGCAGCGGCGGCCGGCGGAGCCGGAAGTGGAGCAGCACGTCCGTGCCCGAGCTGAGCGCGCCCTGCTGCTCCGGCTCGTCCCTGGACGTCAGCTCCGAGTCGGCCACGCAGATCAGCTGCACCTGGCCCCGCCACGGCCACGGGCTCTGCTGCCTGCGGCACTGCTGGCCCCTGGGCTGCCCGGCCTGCTAGGCGGGCGCAATAAAGCCACGGCTGCCCTGAGCGTCCCCACGGCTCCCTCCTTTCCCCCCTGCCCTTCTGCTGGCCACGCGCCCGTCCACTCCGGAGCCGCGAGGGCTGGGCAGAGTCAGGACCCGCGGACAGCAGCTCCATCCGGGCCTCCCGCGTGGGGGCGGGGCCTGGGCATTAGTTACAGCCGCCGCCCGGGGTCATTAGCAGGGTCTGGGTCAGGCTTCCTCCCGCCGTACCCACCCCACCCCATCACAAGGACTCCCGGAGCGGGCGTGCGCTGTGCTGCAAGACTTCAACCCCCGTGTGGGCGCCCGGCCCAGTCCCAGCTGCCCCACCTGGCCAGGCCAGCTCCCTGCTCACCCACCGGGAGGCGGCAGGTGGCAGCCCCAGCACCCGGGTCCCCGCCACCCACGTGGGAGCCCCGGGTGGCGTTCTGAGCCCCTGCGTCCGTGAACCGGCCCACAAATAAGTCAGTCTTCCAGAAACCACAGTAAAAATCGCCCAGAGGGCACAAACAGGAAATGCCCCCCACCTCACTCAGCCCCGCCGGCCTCAGGCCCCCCCCAGGCCCCCCCAGCCTCAGCCCCGCCCCGGCCTCAGGCCCCCCATCTCACTCAGCCCCCCCGCCTCAGCCCCCCCACCTCAGGCCCCCCTGGCCTCACTCAGCCCCCCCACCTCACTCAGCCCCCCGCCTCAGCCCCCCCACCTCACTCAGCCCCCCGCCTCAGCCCCCTCACCTCACTTAGCCCCCCACCTCACTCAGCTACCCCCCGCCTCACTCAGCCCCCCCCCCCGGCCTCAGGCCCCCCTGGCCTCACTCAGCTCCCCCACCTCACTCAGCCCCCCTGCCTCACTCAGCGCCCCCCACCTCAGCCCCCCCCACTCAGCCCCCCACCTCACTCAGCTCCCCCCGTCTCAGCCCCCCACCTCACTCAGCCCCCCACCTCACTCAGCACCCCCACCTCAGCCCCCCACCTCACTCAGCACCCCCACCTCAGCCCCCCACCTCACTCAGCCCCCCCACCTCACTCAGCCCCCCACCTCACTCAGCACCCCCACCTCACTCAGTCCCCCACCTCACTCAGCACCCCCACCTCAGCCCCCCGCCTCACTCAGCACCCCCTGTCTCAGCCCCCCGCCTCACTCAGCCCCCCACCTCACTCAGCCCCCCACCTCACTCAGCACCCCCCGCCTCAGCCCCCCACCTCACTCAGCCCCCCCACCTCAGCCCCCCGCCTCACTCAGCACCCCCACCTCAGCCCCCGCCTCACTCAGCCCCCCACCTCACTCAGCCCCCCACCTCACTCAGCACCCCCGCCTCAGCCCCCCACCTCACTCAGCACCCCCACCTCAGCCCCCCGCCTCACTCAGCCCCCCCACCTCACTCAGCCCCCCACCTCACTCAGCACCCCCACCTCAGCCCCCCACCTCACTCAGCCCCCCCACCTCACTCAGCCCCCCACCTCACTCAGCCCCCCCGCCTCACTCAGCACCCCCGCCTCAGCCCCCCACCTCACTCAGCCCCCCCACCTCAGCCCCCCACCTCACTCAGCCCCCCCACCTCACTCAGCCCCCCACCTCACTCAGCACCCCCACCTCAGCCCCCCACCTCACTCAGCCCCCCCACCTCACTCAGCCCCCCACCTCACTCAGCCCCCCACCTCACTCAGACCCCCCACCTCAGCCCCCCCGCCTCACTCAGCCCCCCCGCCTCACTCAGCGCCCCCCCGCCTCACCCAGCCCCCCAGCAGGCAGGAAGTTGAGAACGGCCTTCATTTGGGAAGGAACCCCCTGGGGGGGTGCGGACCCTGGTGACGGTGCTGGGCTCTCTCCGGCACACCTGTCCGGGGAGGGCTGGCGCCCTGCAGGGCACCATCGAGGGAGGCTCCCGGTGCGGCCCGGCCCTCACCCTCACCGCCCTCGTGCGCCGGCCGCCCACAGGTCCCTGCACCCAAGGGCTGGGGCCGGGTGGACGGGGTCCGTGCCCTGGGTGTGCGGGCACGTCTGCACGGTCCGGCCGCCGAGCCTGGGACACCGAAGCCGGGCGCTCTGAGCGGGAGGAGGCACGGGTGGGGGAGCCGGTCCCGTTCACCGGCTCCCTGCCTCCGTGCACCGCGTCCAGGAGCCGGCGGTACAGCAGGAACCCCAAGGCTGCCGGCGGGGCGGGGGGTCGGGGATGGCAGGGCCCGGCGCGGACGACGAGCGAGCAGACGCGCAGCAGAGGGGGTCCAGACGCCGTGGACGAGGCCCTGAGGCAGAACGGAGGCCGCGTGTGAGCGGAGTGGCCAGGGCCCGGCTCCCCGGGGTCTCAGGGCGTGGGAGGACCGTGGCCTTCACCGCACAGGTGTGGCTTAGCCGGCAGCAAGAGTGACCACTGATGCCCCACCTGGGGCCCGTCGGCTTGGCCACAGCCCCAGGGGTGCTGGGGACACAGCCCCTCGCCCTCGCCCCCCCTCCACCGTGAAGTGGGCTCAGCTGTGCCCCGCCCAGGTTAGCACACCTGGGAGCACGGGGTGGGGGGCGCACCTGGCTCGCCAGGCCCAGTGACCTTTCAACACTAATTTGACCTTTGATGAAAGACATTTACGTGAGAGGCAGGGAACCATCGATCTCCCCTCGGCGGATTCATCCCTCGAATGCTCACAACGGCCAGGGCTGGGCCATCAGGGTCAGGACCCCAGAATTCCCCCCGGGGCCCCCCCGGGGCGGCAGGGGCCCAAGCATTGAGCCAGCACGGCTGCCTCCCAGGGCGCGCCGGCAGGGACCCACTCCCGGGGGCTCCCGCCCGGGGCGCAGCGGCCCCAGTGTCTCTGGTAAGGACGCGTCTGTCGCCGGGGTCCACTCCGAACCCGACACGACCTCCGACCCTCACCTCAACATCCTGTCCGCAGGCTCGGGCCTGGGGCTGGACCCCCAGCAGCCAGCAGTGGCGGCCACGGCCTCCCGCCCAGGCTGGGACAAGCGCGGTGCAGGGCACGGTCGGCCCCAGGTGCTGCCTGTCCACCACCTTGAAGATTACCAGGAGGGGCAGGTGTTGGGCCAGCAGGTGACCCCGCGACCCACCTGGGAGCGCCTGGGCTCCACTGCCAGCTCTGGTTCCCGCCCCCAGCTCCCTGCTAACGCCTGGGCCACGGAGGCCAGTGGGGGGCCCAGGGGGACTTTCCTGCTTCCAGCTCTGACCATCTCTGACCGTCGTGGGCACGGGGAGGGAGCCAGCTGTCTCTGTCTCTCGACTGCGGGCGTCTCGGACTCCACTGCAATTTAAAACCCCCGTGGACACCCTGTGCACCCCTTCCCCGTCAGCATCCGCAGAACCCTGCAGAGCCCCTGGGAAAAGCCCCGCCCCCGGCCGGTTTCCGAAGCAGCCGCCTCGGCTTTGGCTTTGCCGCCACCAGCAAGGCGCTCCGCCTCCCGCGGAACCGGTTCCGGCTCCGGACGGGGCACTCGGTGCAGGCAGTGCCTGGGCCTTCCCGCACACAGCTCAGGGTCGGCAAGACCAGAGCTGGGCGTGTCGGTGGAGCCGGGTTCGAGTCCCATCTCCGCTCAGATGCCTGCCCCCTGCTGACCCACGCCTGGGAGGCCGTGAGGACGGCTCGGGTGCCGGGGGAGGACGGGCCCTGCCACCCACGTGGGAGCCCAGGGTGGAGCTCCCGGACGCCGGCCTTGCCTGGCCCGGCCCTGGCCGCCATGGGCACTGGGGCAGTCGCCCAGCAGACGGAGGCCTCCGTCCCCTCTTTCTCTGCCTCTTTACTGTGTTTGGTCAACAAGGGCTGGGGGCAGCAAGAGTGGGCACTGGCGCCACTTGGTCCCCATTGTCCGTGGCCTCAACCTTGCCACCCGCAGAGTGGACGGCTGCTCCCAGCGCCCCCTGCTGGCTTCAAGGCTGAGGGACCAGGCCGGGTGGGCACCTGCTGTGGACATGGTGGCCTGCCCCCGGGGAGGCCGGCGGCCCCTCCCCCCATCCTTACCCCAAGCTATGAACACCACCAGCCCTGGCGGGGTTCCGCCCACATCCCCGAAGGCCGTGTGTCCCCAAGCCCCAGGACGCACGGGCTGCAGGGCCCACAGGTGGAGGAAGACAGGCCTGGGGCCCCCCGCGTGGACGCCCCCTTTCCCAGCCCCTGCCGTGCCTCCTGGGCTTCATGGTCTGGGACACAGGTTCCCCAGGGCCTGGCCACGTGCCCAGCATACAGCAGGTGCTCAATGCGCACTCCAGGGGTGAAGGCGAGGCCGGGAATGGCTCCAGGACAGCACAGCCCCCAGGTCTGAGCCTTGGCAGGGACGCTGAGGCCCAGGAGGGGGCAGGGCGCTGCCAGCGGTCACGTGGGAGGTCAGGGCGCCCACGGCCTGGGCAGCGGCCAGCTGGGGCAGCCGGGACGGGGGCGTGGCTCAGCCCTGGGAGGGGCTCCGGGGCCCTGCCCGCCCCCAACCCCGCCCGGAGGAGGAGGGCGTGGGGGCGGGGCGAGCACGTATCCACACGCGTGGCCGCGGCGCGATCCCACCAGCACTCCCCGAGTCAACACAGCTGAGGACACGTGGCCGGGTGCCCTGGTTCTTTTAAGGAACGCGGTGGTGAAAACGAACCGGGCCGGAAGGGCGAGCGAGCGGAGGGGCTGACGGCGGGGACACCAGGCCCAGCGCTCCAGGGGGGCTTCCGGGGGCGGCGCGTGTGGGAGGAGTGGCAGTGACAGCGTCCCTGCACACGTGTGTGCATGTGTGTGGTGTTCCTGCATGCATGTGCACACGTGTGTGCACGTGTGATGGAGTCCCCGCACACGCGTGTGTGTCACGGTCCCGCCCACGCGTGTGCGTGTCAGCGGCAGGGGCTGCGCAGGAAGAAGACCCACAGCCACGGTGCGAGTTCGTCTTTGGGGGGGAGTGAGGCCGACTTCCAAGCGCGAAGACGCGGGGGCGGCGCGGGCAGCGGCGCGGGCCCACCCCGCGCGTCAGGCCGGGCAGTGGCGTGCGGCCAGGCGCGCTCGGCTGTCCTCCGCGGGGCTCCAGGGCCGCGCGTAGCCGGCCCGCGGCAGCAGCAGCCGGTCCTGGGCGCCGTCGGGGCTGACGAGGCGCCGCACGGCCAGCAGGTACTCCCGGCGGGCGGCCAGCGGCGGGCAGGGGCAGCGGCCCGGCGCCCACACGTACTCGCGGCCCCGCAGCGGCCCGCGGCTCTTGTAGACCAACTGGACCCGCACCTCGTAGCGCGTCTCCTGGGCGTGGCGCCGGCGGCCCAGCACGCGGGCCTGGAACACTGAGGCGGGGGGGGGGCCCGGGGCGGGGTGAGAGGGGGCTCACGGGTGGCGGCCAGGGGCGGGGGCGCGGCCCGGGGGCTCACCAAAGTCGCTGCCGCAGTAGTGGAGCAGCCGGTGGGCGCGCCCACGGGTGTCCGGGCAGGGCGGGCAGGGCTCTGCGGAGGGCGGGGCTGTGAGGGGTCCGGGCCTCACGCCCCCGCCCCGCCTGCCCCATCCTGGCCGCCCCCACCTCACCTGGGGCGGGGGCCGGGGTCCACGCGGGGCCGGGGGGCTCGCGGGGCGGAGGCTCCACCTCCCGCGGCTGTGGCTGCCGCAGGGACCAGCCCAGCGCCTGCGCCCGCGCCTGGAAGGGGCCGTAGCGCTCCTGGGGGAGCCAAAACTCCAACTCGATGCCCGGGTTGGGCTCCCGCAGGAGGACCTGGGTGGGGGCGCACACCAGGGCAGCTGAGGGCCCGCCCCCTCCGGCTGAGCCCGCCTCCCCCGGCTGAGCCCGCCTCCTCTCCCGGCTGACTCCTCCCCGCTCTGGCTGACCCCGCCTCCCCCTCCGGCTGAGCCCGCCTCCTCACTCTGGCTGACCCCGCCTCCTCTCCCAGCTGACTCCTCCCCGCTCTGGCTGACCCCGCCTCCCCGGCTGAGCCCGCCTCCTCGCTCTGGCTGACCCCGCCTCCCCCCTCCGGCTGACCCCGCCTCCCCGGCTGACCCCGCCTCCTCTCCCGGCTGACTCCTCCCCCCTCCGGCTTACCCCGTCCCCCTCTGGCTGACCCTTGCCTCCTCTCCCGGCTGACCCCGCCCCCGCCGCACCTGCAGGAGCAGGTCCTGCGTCGTGGGCCCGACGGCGCGCAGCGTCTCCTCGGGCCCCGCGGCGCGAGTGTAGACCACGCGGGTGCCGGCCGCCTCGTAGGTCCCGGGCGCGTCGGCGCGGTCCCCGTTGAGCACGTAGCGCCCGTCGGCGCCCACGAGCGCTGCAAGGCAGGGGTCAGCCGAGCCCCCGCGCCGCCCGCCCGCCCCCCGCGCCCCGCGTACCCAGGCGGTTGCGGCTGCGGTGCGCCACGCGGACGTGTCTTGCGCCCGCAGGGATCAGGGTCACGTTCCAGTACCCGGCGAAGGCACCTGCGCGGGAGGGAGGCGGCGTTGGCGGCCGCGGGCCGGGGTCCCGGCCCCGCGGAGGCGCGGCTGTCGCTCGGTGCAGCGCAGAAGGGGTTAACCGCCCGCCGCGCCGCGGGGTGGGGCGGGGCAATCTGCGGGCGACCAATCGGCGCGAGGAGGCGGGGGCCCGCGCCGCGGCTGCCCAATCGGCTCCGTTGTGGCCTCCGGGCCGCTACCCACGCGCGCGCGGGGCGGGGCGGTCACCGGCGTCGCGGAACACGCGCTGCACCCACAGGCACGAGTCGTCGGCGCCCCCGCAGCGGCCGCAGCGGTCCTCTAGGGCGCCCGAGCCCAGCAGCCCGTCACAGCCGGCGCTCTGCAGGGGACACGCGGGGCGTCAGGGGCGGGACCGGGGCGGGGCGTGGGGGGGCGGGGCCCAGGCGGGGGCGGGGCGTCACAGCCGGCGCTCTGCAGGGGACACGCGGGGCGTCAGGGGCGGGACCGGGGCGGGGCGTGGGAGGGGCGGGGCCCAGGCGGGGGCGGGGCGTCACAGCCGGCGCTCTGCAGGGGACACGCGGGGCGTCACGCGGCGAGACCGGCCCGGGCCCGGGCGGGGCGGGGCGTGGGGATGAGGGGTGGGGCCCAGGGCGGGGGCGGACCCCGACATGACCGGGCTGGGGGCGGGGCGTGGGAGGGGCGGGCCCCGACACCAAGGGGCGGGGCGGGTAAGGGTCCTTACGAGGCAGCGGCCGGCCACGCAGAGGTCCTGGGCGGCCGGGCCGCAGGGGGTGCCGTCCAGGACGCGGCCGAAGCTGCGGTAGAAGCCGTGCCCTTCCGCCAGGCAGTTGAGGTCGCACTGGTTGGGCGCTGGGGACAGGGGGAGTCGGTGGGCTGGGGACCTCCCTGACGGAGTCCCAGGCCCCGGCCACCGCCGCCCCGTGGACAGCTTCGCCCGGGCGCTCCCGGGGCCGCGAGCCCTCGCCGCTGGCCGGCAGGCTCTCCCGCCCCAGCGCCCCTGCAGCTCCCGGCGCCCTACTTCGTGCTGGCCCGCCCTGGCCACTCACCCCCGAGGAAGGGCACCCACTGGTACGTCTGGGGGGCGCCCAGCACAGGGCGGCCATTGTAGAGCGCACACTGCAGGTCTCGGAAAGGCACGGCGCCCGGCGGGCAGTCCTGGGGGCAGACGGGGGTCGGGGTCGGAGGCTGGGGAGCCCCAGGCGGTGTGACCGGGGGAGGGGTTCGGGGAGGACCGGGGAGGTGGGCGGGGCTTACGGGAAGCTGGCAGAGGCGGTATCCGTGGGTGTCCCCCCAGCACGGGTCCTCCCCGGGAAGCCTGCAGGGGGCGGGGCAGCGCACGTGTGGTCGAGACCCCCAGGGACGCCCCTCCCAGCACTGGCCTGTCCACCCTCCTCCCACGCCAACCCCACCCGCATTCCGGCGGGAATAAAGGGCAGGGCGCGTGTGGGGCGGCGGGGGGCGGGGCCGGGACCCCTGCGCGCCGCTGTCGGCTCACCGGATGCAGCGGCGGCTGCGCACCGAGACGCCCCGCCCGCAGGAGCTGGAACAGCGGCTCCAGGACCCCCACAAGGTCCACTCCCCCGGACCCTACTTGGGGACAGGAGGGCACCATCAGCCTGCAGGGGGCGTCGGGTCCTCGCCGGCCCGCTGGTCTCACGCCCCCCCCTTACCTGAGCTCCGCCCCCCAAGTCGCAGCTCAGGAGGGCCCCCAGCAGGAGCAGAAGGTTCTGGATGGGTCTGGGGGAGAGAGGGGACCAGTGCAGCAGCCAGCAGGCCGGGGTCCGAGCCCCAGCCCTGCCCCGCCCCTGGACAGTAACCGGACTCCCTGCAGGAGAGGGCGGGGCTGTGGGGTCCCCACGGGTACAGAAAGGAGGGGCTGGAAACGCTGTCGCGGCACCAGTGTCCACTGCGTACTGCCCCAGAACGCATACAACAGGCGCTCAAGCAGTGCGTGGTGACCGGCAGCTCCAGGGCCCATTGCTGCTTCTACCTGCCGGGGCGGCCACAGCTGGGCCACTCCGCTTCCCCGGGCCCAAGTGTCCCCATCTGCACAGCCTGGGCCGGCTGGACTCAGTCCATGCTTCTCTGAGACCCTGCAGGAGACGTGGGCCCCGGGGGCTGCGTCAGGAGCAGGACCCGGCCTCCCAGGGCCCCCAGACCCAGGCAGCCGGGCGACCCCGGGGTGGGCGGGGCAGGGAGGGGCGACCTGGCCCAGGTCCAGGTGTGGCGTCATGGCCTCATCTGTCCAGGGTGTGGGCCGCAGCGCGGGGCCTCCTGGGGAGCAAGGGACAGGGAGGGAGCTGGGTGGGAACTCGGACCCCCCAGCCCCCCCTCCCCGCCTCGGGGTGCCCGCTGTCAGGGGCGGAGGAAGGACCAGGGCCTGGCAGGGGAGAGGGGAGGGAGCCTGGCCACCTCGCGTGTCCCGGCCACCCCAGCCCCCAGACGCTGCCGGACCCGGGTCCATGGAGTCCCGGCTCCACCTTCCACCTCTGACCCCGGACTCTGCCCAGGAGCCCTCCCTCTCTGCCCACAGCTGCGGGCCGGACGCGGGGAGCTGGGGCAGGGCAGGGGGCTTGGGCGGCGATCGCGGTGGGAAGCCCACCCTCCCCTCTCCTGCAGCGGGTGAAGTTGGCCCAGGACAGGCCACGCCTCCGGGCCTCGGTTTCCCCGCTGGGAGCGGGAGCGCTCACCCGTTGCGGGTGGCTGCCCCCAGCCCTCGGTCCACACACCGGTGCGGTCCCGGGGGAGTGCGCGGTCAGGCTGAGGGACTTACCGGCTGCGGGGGAGCGGGGCTGCGCGTCCAGGCCGCCCGGGCAGAGCGGAAGCGGCGGGGCCCGAGGTGCGGGGCGGGAGCGGGACGGCCCCTCCCACGCGAGCTGCCCAGGGCCGCGCCTGGGCAAGGCGGGGCGGCGCCCCCGCGCGGCCGGTGCGGATCTGCGGCAGGGGGCTGCCCCACGCACGCTCCGGGCCTCTCGAGCCGCGGCCTGGTTCCGGGTGTCGGGGCCGCGGCGACCTTGGGACTGACCGCCCCCACCCTCCAGCCGGAGCTGCTATTCCGGGCGCCGCGCTCAGGGCCCGGGAATGTGCGCCCCCAGGGAGCCCGGCCCTGGCCCCGGGAGTCCGGGCGCCTCCCCCTCTCCGCCGACGCCGCCCCTGCGGTGGTCCCTGCGCCCTCCTCGCCGTCGCCCTCCTTCGGGGCTGCCCCACTCAGGGGCGAAGACACCCACGTGTCTGGAATCCGATCCCGGGATTCCCCGGCCGCCCCCCAACGCAGGGCCCCAGCGCCCAGGGAGTCACTCGGGCCGGGGGCCGGGCTGGGGGCGGAGACCCCAGCCGGCGCATTCCCGGGCGTTGCTGTCACCAGGGCGCGCCCGGTCCCGCCTCCTGCCCGCCTGGCCCCGGCCGGGTGGTGGCTTCTGGGCCAGCCCTGGGTCCACCAGCAGGCCCCTCCCCGCCGCGGCCGGCCTCACTCCCTCCCACCTCAGTTTCCCCACCAGGAAACGGGCCCAGCGGGGGTCGCCATGGCGAGCCTTCCAGTCGGCCCTCAGCCCACCCTTCCTGGCCGGCGCCCACGCAGGACACAGCAGGCTCCCTGGGCTGCCGGCCCCTCCAGCTCCTGGCTGGCGCCCCCTGGCGGGGGTGGGGGTCCTGAGCGGGCGGTGGACCCACCTTGCTGCCCTGAGCTGGGCTCAGACCGGGCTCCAGAGCCCCCTCCTCCAGGAAGCCCCAGCCTGCTGTCCAGCCTGCTGTCCCCAAGCCCCCCAGACCCCGGGGAGAGGGGTTGGCCCTGCTGCTGGAACAGCCACCTGGCAGGGGGAGGCAGGGGCTGGGCTGGCCGGAGGAGGTGCCCCGGACTCCGAGCGGGCACTGGGTGGGGCTGGGGCCAGGTCTGCCTGTGGACGAGTCCATGGGTGCTGTCGGCATGGTGGGCCCAGAGCTGCGGGGCTGGGAGGGAGGGGCGGCGTGGGCAGAGGGGACACGGGGCCAGCGATGGGCTCAGTCACTGGTCCTGACTGGCCTTGACCGGTGGGTGGGGACGGGGAAGAAAGCCCGACTGGAGGGGAGCGGGGGGGAGGGAAGGGAGTTGGGGCTGGGGTGTCCAGAACCCTGCACTGAGCGCCTGGGGCCAGGGGCATTGGAAGAAGATGAGGCTCAGGGCCACTCTGCAGGGCTGTGACGTGTGGGTGGGTGTGGCTTCTCGATCACCTGGCTCACCTGGCCCAGCAGACCCCCCAGGTGGAGGCCTGGAGCTCAGAGCCCAGCCCCCCGCACAGTGGGCCAGGCAGGGGCCAACTTCAGCCTGGCGCCGCTCTCCGAGCTCCGGCCAGGACCCTCTCCCCGAGGGGACGCCAGGACCAGGTCCCAGGGGAGCCCTGGCGGGTGGGCAGCCCGGCCCCTGCCTGCTGTGGGCTCGGGGCTCAGAACTGCCCGCAGGCCACGGTTAACAGTGCTGAGCACTGCAGAATTCAGCAGCGGTGTAGCCCACGCTCAGAGCTCCGAGAGGCCCGGACGCCCTGCGCGGCCGTGACGTCACCAAGCCCGCTGTGATGGGGGGACCACAGCGGTACAGCCGCCGCCTGCAGTGCCCGCATCCCCTGTGGGCACTGGTCTGTGTCCCGGCTGCTCCACGTCCCAGCCAGCTCCCTGCTGTGGCCTGGGAGAGCAGTGGACGATGGCCCCAGTCCTGGGCCCTGCACCTGCGTGGGAGACCCGGATGGAGCTCCTGGCTCCTGGCTTCGGATCGGCCCAGCTCCGGCCATTGTGGCCATCTGGGGAGGGACCCAGCGGGTGGAAGCGCTCTCTCTCTCTCTCTCTCTCTCTCTCTGTAACTAAACCTTTCAAATAAATAAATGCATGTATTTAGGAAGGAGGTCCCTTTAAACATTAGCTTTACTTGAAAGCACAACAGAGCCGTCTCCGTCTGCTGCTCACTCCCTGCGCGGCCACCGCGGCCAGGCCCGGCAGACGGCAGCCAGGAGCCGCGAGCCCGGCCAGGCCTCCGCGTGGTGCAGGGCCCAGCCCGTCCGCCCCTCCCTTCCCCTGTCCTGTCCCCGCGGAGGGGAGGCCACGTCCCCCGTCCCCACGGAGGGGAGGCCACGACCCCCATCCCAATGGAGGGGAGGCCACGTCCCCCGTCCCCGTCCCCGGGCAGACTCCTCACAGCTGGGCCCTGAGGCCCTGGAGGGGGGACGTCACCCGTGAGAGCACTCGGCGGGGCCACGCAGAGGTGTGGGAGCCCCTGCAGCCAGGACACAGCGGGGTCCACACACACGGGGACACCACGCGGCCAGGACGCCGCGCCCCGGCATGGCCAAGGCCTGGAGGGACCCTGCGGACGTCACACCCAGGAGGAACCAGAACAGAGGCCACACGCGTGGACATGGGATACACACAGGGAGGTCACGAGTGGGTGTGGACACAGGGGGTCAGGAGTGGGTGTGGACACAGGGGATCAGGAGTGGGTGTGGACACAGGGGGGTCAGGAGTGGGGACACAGGGAGGTCACGAGTGGGTGTGGACACAGGGAGGTCAGGAGTGGGTGTGGACACAGGGGGTCAGGAGTGGGTCACAGGGAGGTCAGGAGTGGGTGTGGACACAGGGAGGTCAGGAGTGGGTGTGGACACAGGGGGTCAGGAGTGGGGACACAGGGGGGTCAGGAGTGGGTGTGGACACAGGGGGGCAGGAGTGGGTGTGGACACAGGGAGGTCAGGAGTGGGGACACAGGGGGGTCAGGAGTGGGGACAAAGGGGGGTCAGGAGTGGGTGTGGACACAGGGGGGCAGGAGTGGGGACACAGGGGGTCAGGAGTGGGTGTGGACACAAGAGGTCAGGAGTGGGTGTGGACGCAGGTGCCGTCAGGTTGGCCTCGGGATGGAAGCCCTGGGTGCGGCGCCTCCAGCAGCCGGCAGGGTGTGGCCCGGGTCCCTCCCAGGCTCTGGAAGGCCCAGCCCCGACCGCATCTGGACTTTTGACCTCTGACCTGTGGACTCCAGGAGCAACGTGTGTGCAGACTCCGAGCGGGTGGGAATTTGTCCAGAGCAGCCGCAGACGGCTCTGGGCCCCGGTGGGGGCGGTGACAGCTCTGGGCCCTGGCGGGGGCGGGGAGGGCTCTGGGCCCCGGTGGGGGCGGGGACAGCTCTGGGCCCCGGCGGGGGCGGGGAGGGCTCTGGGCCCCGGCGGGGGCGGGGAGGGCTCTGGGCCCCGGCGGGGGCGGGGAGGGCTCTGGGCCCCCCCGGGGGTGGGGTGGGAAGGGCTCTGGGCCCCGGCGGGGGCAGTGATAGCTCTGGGCCCTGGCGGGGGCGGGGAGGGCTCTGGGCCCCGGTGGGGGCGGGGGTGGCCGTCTCGTTAGCCCGGGTGAGGGCCATCCCCGTGGCGTGGCCGGCCCGGCGGGGATCACTAGGACTCCCCAGGCCGCTTTCCCCACCCACCAGCGTCCCTCCTGTTCCCAGCCTCTCCCTGGTCCGCAGCAGGAAGAGCCGCGCGGGTGGACGCAGACCGTTCCCGCAGGCATCTGGCTGGCTCTGAGCCCCCAGGGCACCCCGGGTGCAGCCGGGGGGGATCAACACCTCGGGGGGGGGGCATGGAGCGGGGGCGGGGCAGCTCAGGACAAGCACCAGCTGGGGGGCATCTGAGCTAGGCCACACCCCCCCGGGGCCAGGGCAGCCCTGGTGCGGCTGTCCATCTGTGGGACAGAAAGCCAGCTGGCCAAAAGATCAGTAATTTCAGTGGTGCCGGAACCAGACGTCAGCAGGCGGGGGTCGGGGCTAGGGTTGGGGTGGGGGTGGCCTCCTGAGGTTGCAGGGGGCGCTGGGCAGCGGGGCCAGCAGGTGCAAAGGGCCTGGGGCAGGACGCGCTCACGGTCAGGGTCAGAGAGCGGCAGTGGCTGCTGACCCGGCTTTGTTCGCCATGACTGCGTGCCTGGGGCTGGCCACTTTGTACCGAGATCTGCCTGGCTCGCCGGGCTGGGGGCCCCAGGGACCTGTCTCGTCCTCGCCACCCCCAACCATCTCAGTGGACCCTGTCCTCGCTCCTGGCACCTATCCCTCGGGACCCCGGGCAGCCAGGCCCTGGCTCCCAGGGCCAGGTGTCCAGCAGGCGCTGCCGCGTCCTCCCTGGGGGGTCCATCTGCGGAACGTTCTGCCCCCGTGTGGGTGGCCAGCTCCTGTCCCCACTGCGGTGGGGGAGGTAGGCGGCGGAGTGCCTTGGGGACGGAGGGGGCACCGCGCGGCCGCCGTCTGCGGGAGGACAGACCAGAGGAGACGGGACGAGGGGACTGGAAGATTCTGCCAGCAGGGTGGAGGGAGCACGAGGGTCTAGGGGCCCCCAGCGCCCACGAGGCGCCGGCACAGCGAAGACCCAGGGAGCCAAGCAGAGGCGGCCGGGCGGGGGGGAAGCTGAGGGCCCAGCCCCAGCACCCTGCTCAGGGAGCTCCGGGGGGGGGGGCTCCCTCGGCCTGCGCTGCGCCTGGGGCCGCCCATCCCCAGGGACCCGTGCGGCTGAGCTGAGGGCTCACGGTGCAGGCACGTGGGCCCCCACGGGCGCTTGTTCTCCAGGCCAGGAGAGCAGAGAGGGGCCCAGGAGCTGGGCCGAGTCACGCCGCCCCGGCACCTCCCGGGAGGAGGGGGCAGGCAGGCCCGGGCCCCAGGGACTGGAGCTGGCCCTGTCCCCGGGGACACGGCCCAGCGCTGTCTCAGCAGCCGCCACTGGCTTTCCTTCCCCGCGCTTCTGCGAAATCTGCTGACTTGGGGTCCTGCTCTCGGGCAGGGACAGAGCGGGCAGCGGCGGGGACGCAGGCTGTGCCCTGGAGCGCGGGGTCAGACGGGGACCCCCGGCCCCTGTGCGGGCGCAGGCAACGTGAGGACGTGCCCAGGCATTTCTGAGTGCACACTCAGCGGCCTGTGGCCCTGACCACTGCCCACCTCCCACTGCCTCCTGTGGCTGGGGACCTGGGGGCTCCTGGGAGGGCCCCGGCCGGCTCTGTCCGCCCCCGGGGCCCCTGCACGCCCAGCAGGTGCGCGATTCCCCTCCAGGGTTCAGAGCCCTCTGCTCGTATGCAGCCATGGCCTGCTGCCCTGCCTCCCGCGCCCGGGACCCCCTCTGCTCTCCTCGTACCGTGAGCGGGACATCAGTGCCCACCGGGGGTCACCCCCGGGGGCGCCCTCCTGGCCGTGGAACCCCAACTGCTCGTGAATTTCCTGTCCCCTCAAAGGGAACAGCCGCCTGCGGCCGCACCTCAAGCTGCCCCCACAAACCTGGCCACAGCCCTGGGCCGCGAAGGGGCGCTCACCCCCAGTGCCCCCGGAGGGCCGGTCCCCAGGCCTGGCTGGTTAGGACAGGGGCCTGGGACAGAGGGCAGCTGGCCTGAGGGGAGCCCCCCTCCCCGGCTCTGAGACGAGGCTGGGCCAGGAGAGGCGGGCGCCCGGGCAGGTGGGGGGAGTCGGCATCAGCTGACAGGCACACGGGGCGGCTCTCGGCCAGCAGCGGACAGCTCCCTCCCCCAGGAAGCCGCTCGGCCGTCCGCCATGCCTGGCGCTGCTCCCAGGGCTGGGGGACGCCACCGTGTGTCTGTGGCAGGGGCTGGGGGGCTGCATCCGGCTCACGGAGACTCACGCTGGGCTCGGCCACTTGCACAAGCCTTCCCGTGCCTCAGTTTACCCAGCTGTCACTTCAGCGCACTTGCGGGGGCTGCTCACTTTCCCGGGGAGGCTGGGACCCCCTCGCGGTGCCGTAAACGGCTACTGCTTCCCAGGGGCCACAGACGGAAGGAAGGTGCGGGCCACGTCGGCTCACGGCACCTGCTGCCCGGGGCCAGCTGCCGGGCCTGGAATCCCAGCCCAGTCGCCAGGACCCGACTCCCACCAAGGTGGCCCCGCGTGATGCACAGTGCACACAAGGCAGCCCACAGGGTGCTTCCCGGCCCCGCTGGAAACGCGGGCTCCGGAAAATTCCAAGGCCTGATTCTGGCCACGGGGAGCCCTGCTAGCCCCTCCCCACCCCTGCCTTATGTAACATTTGGGGATTAGTACCGGGCGCCCTGGCCTGCCCTGGGCAGCCCCGCGGACCGTCCCTGGGACCTGCGCTCACCTGTGAAATGGACAAGGCCTGAAGCCAGGTCAGGTCACGCCCCCGGCTCACGCCCTGTCCCTCACGGGACCCGCCCTCCACAAGGAACCCCCAGGGCCGCCGGGGCGCCCCCAGTCCTGCCTCCTCGGGCCCTGCCCCGGGTCCCACGCTCCTCCCGGCCAGCCCCCGCCTGAGTTTCCCTTCCACTCTGAATCTTAGTGTGCCTCCCCGCGGGTACCCACGCGCAAACAGGACCCACAGCTGGACACCCGGGGACCCACGAGACGCACACCTCCAGCCCCCGGGGGAGAGCCCCAGGGCACCTCGCTTTTCCCGCACAGCGATTCAGGCGCATTAACAGCCCCCATATTGGCCGCAGGTGCAGCGCTGGCGAGCAAACCGCTGAGCGCAGGGCCCTGCGCCGCCTGGAACTTCTCCAGCGCAGCGGTCCCGCACGCCCACGCGGCCCCCACGCACCTGCCCCCTCCCTCGGGCTGGCCAGCCCCGCGTGTCTGGCTCCGCCTTCCCCTCCCCCCTCAGCCAATAAGAAGCGCCCCGGCGGTGCGCGGGCCCCAGAGCGGCGGCGCTGCGCGGTGGTCCGGGCGGGAGGCTGCGCCCCGCCGGTACCCCGCCAGGATGGAGCCCGGGCCGCGGCGGCGGCGGCGACGCGGGAGCCACCAGCTGGTGGCCACCTTCCTGCGCGACCCGGGCTCAGGGCGCGTCTACAGGCGCGGGAAGCTCATTGGCAAGGTGGGGCGGCCGAGCAGGGAGCGCGCGGTGGGCCCCGGCATGTGCAGGGCGCGGTGGACCCGACCCGTCGGGGGCTCTGCGTGGGCTCAGCGTGCGGCCGCGCGGCCGGGGGCCTTGGAGCTTTCTCCGGGCGTGGGCGTGTGAGGCGGCCTGGCCACGAGAGGGTCCCGGGTCGCGCTGCGCTGCGGGCGCACCTGGCCGCACCTGGCCGCTGAGCGGCCCGCCCCGGGCCCCGCAGGGCGCCTTCAGCCGCTGCTACAAGCTCACGGACTTGTCCACCAGCGTCGTGTTCGCCCTCAAGGTGGTGCCCCGCGGCGGGAGCGGGGCCGGGCGGCTGCGCACGCGCGGCAAGGTAGGCGTGCAGCGTGTCCCCGGGCTCCCCGGGGAGGGTTTCCCTGCCAGCCGCGGGCGCCGGGTGGACCGTGCGGGGTGTGTCTGCAGGTGGAGCGGGAGATCGCCCTGCACAGCCGCCTGCGGCACCGCAACATCGTGGCCCTCCACGGGCACTTCGCCGACCGCGACCACGTGTACCTGGTGCTGGAGTACTGCAGCCGCCAGGTGGCCTGGGGGGGGGCGGCGGGGGCCGCTGGTGTCTCCCGCTAGTGTCCCTCCTCGCTCACGGCCCGCCTGTGCCCCCCTGTGTCTGTGCCCAGCTAGTTGTGTGGTCATCGGGTCCAGCTCCTACTCTCCCGTGGCCACCCGTGCGCCCTGGGACATGCTGGCTTCCATCCGCCCCCCCCCCCCGGGACTCACCCATGCCACGCCCACGCCCCAGAGCCCTCACCCCCACCCCACAACCCAGGCCAGGCCGGGCTCTGCCCTTGGCCGCGCTAACCCACGTCCCCCGCAGTCCCTGGCCCACGTGCTGCGGGCGCGGCAGACGCTGACGGAGCCCGAGGTGCGCTACTACCTGAGGGGCCTGGTCAGCGGCCTGCAGTACCTGCACCAGCGCCGCATCGTGCATCGTGACCTGAAGCCGAGTGAGTGCCGGGCTCGCCCCGGGGCGCGGGAGGGCCTGCCCCCACCCACGGTGCCCCCCACCCCCACCCCCACCCCCAGGTAACTTCTTCCTGAACAAGAACATGGAGGTGAAGATTGGGGACCTGGGGCTGGCCGCCAAGGTGGGGCCGGGGGGCCGCTGCCACAGGTGCGTGCGGGAGCCCTGGGGGTCCCCCTGGGAGCGCACGGGTGACCCCGAGCCTGGCGTGGGCGCCGAGCCCCCCCCCCCGCTATTTCCCTCCCAGAGTGCTCTGCGGGACCCCGAACTTTCTGGCCCCCGAGGTCATCTCCAGAAATGGGCACTCCTGCCAGTCGGACATCTGGGCTCTGGGCTGCAGCCTGTGAGTGGGGGCGGGGCGGCGGGGGGGCAAAGAAGACTGAGCGGGGGCGGGGTGGCGGGGGGGCAGGGAAGACTGAGCGGGGGCGGGGTGGCGGGGGGGCAGGGAAGACCGAGCGGGGGCGGAGCGGCGGGGGGGGCAGGGAAGACTGAGCGGGGGCGGGGCGGGGGGGCAGGGAAGACCGAGCGGGGCGCCCAGGGCCGGGCAGGCGTGGGGCACGGGATGTGACGCGCGGACAGAGGAAGGACCTGGGCAGCTCTGGCCGGCGCGCCAGGTGAGCGTGAGAACCTGGGGGGCAGGCGCCGGGCTCCCTCCCCTCCTGGCCCAGGTACACCGTGCTCACCGGCGCCCCACCCTTCCCCGCGGCACCCCTGTCGGAGACCTACCGGAGCATCCGCGCCGGCCGCTACCCAGAGCCCGCCCACCTGTCGCCTGCCGCCCGCCGCCTCATCGCCCGCCTCCTGGCGCCTGACCCCGCCGAGCGGCCGAGCCTGGACCTCCTGCTGCAAGACGTCTTCTTCACCCAGGTGGGCGCCGGAGGCGGAGCCGGCCCCAGCCCCGCCCTCGGCCCCGGCCACGCCCCCAGCCCCGCCGCTCAGCTCCGCCCCAGCCCCCGGCCCCGCCCCCAGCCCCAGCCTCGCCCCCCAGCGTCAGCCTCGCCCCCCCAGCCCCGCCCCGCAGCCCCCAGCTCCAGCCCCGCCTCAGCCCCAGCCCCAGCCCCGCCCCCAGCCCCAGCCCCGCCTCAGCCCCAGCCTCAGCCCCGCCCGCAGCCCCCGTCCCGCCCGCAGCCCCGCCCCCAGCCCCACCTCAGCCCCAGCCCCAGCCTCGCCCCCCAGCCCCAGCCCCGCCCCCCAGCCCCAGCCCCGCCTCCCAGCCCCACCGCTCAGCCCCAGCACCGCCCCCAGCCCAGCCACAGCCCCGCCCCGGCCCCTCCCCCATCCCGCCCCCAGCCACAGCCCCGCCCCCTCCCGCAGGGCTTCAGTCCGGACAGGCTGCCGCCCTACTGCTGCCACCACCCGCCCGTCTTCGCCCGTCCCCTGGGCCTGGGCGGGCTTCTCCGGAAAGTCCAGCTGCTGCTGCCCCCGTGCGGACCCCCCTGTGAGTGTCCCGCCCCCAGCGCCTCTCCAGGGCTCTGCAGCAGGGCGCTGTGGGGCAGCTGCCCCCACCCCCCGCCGCGCCCCCCAAATCCTGTGCCTCCCTCAGGCCCCCGCACCTCCGCAGACGGGTCGGACCCTGACTCCACGGAGCGGGGCGGTGAGGTAAGGACGCAGGGTGTGGGGGTGCAGGGGGGCACCTCGAGGCTGGCCCTGCCCCCTCCCGAGCCCCCTCCTCCAAGCAGGCTTCCCTGACTTCACCAACAGAAGCCTCCGCCCCCTCTGGGGTCTGGGGCCTGGACCCCTCCCTCCTGTGACCAGTGTGTCTCCCCAAGGCCCAGGCCCCAGGCACTGGGTCACCCTACATTTGTCCAGTGCCTGTGGGACGCCCCCCCAGGGGAGACCCGTTCCTCCAGGGGGCAGGAGCCCCTCGCCCACCTCCGGCTGGCCTCTCCCTCCCTCCTCAGGCCTCCCCGTCTGAGAGAGGGGCTCCCGACCCCGAGACCCCCATCCGCCTGCTCTCCCAAGGGACCCTCAGCGCTGACCCAGCAGGTGAGCGGCCCCGGCAGGGACTGGGGGAGGGGATCGAGGAGTTGGGGCGATCCTGGACAGTGGGGACGTGGGGGTTAACACCACTTCCTGGGTGCAGGAGTGCAGGCCCGGTGCCCCACCCCATCTGTCTCCCCAGGGCCTGCAGGGAGCCCGTGGGCCGAGGTGGACGCGGCCATCTGGATGCTGCGGCTCTGCCTGGACGCCGGCCCTCGGGGTAGGAGCCCGCCTCCCCCGCCCTTCGTTCCCGGGCAGCTGTGACCCCCACCCCGGGTGGCAAGGGGAGCCTCAGGGCTGCCCTCCGCGTGCCCCAGGGGGCCTGGCCGCGACCGAGCCGGGGGTGGTGGGCCACAGCTGTGACGGGGCCCCACGCAGCCTCGGAGCCCAGGGCCAGGGAGCCCCTGGCAACCCCCACCCCCGAGGGGCCCCGAGCTCCAGAGCCCCCTGAGCCGCGGCCATTTGTCTCAGAGAATCCCAAGGAGCCGACAGAGTCGCCTGAGAATTAGTCAGGAGGGTGCAGACGGCCACCTGGGCCTCCCCGCCCTGGGCGCCACGTCCACGTCCACGCTTCCCCCGCTGATGATGACCACCTGGGCCTCCCCGCCCTGGGTGCCATGTCCACGTCCCCGCTCCCCCCCACTGCAGATGGCCACCTGGGCCTCCCCACCCTGGGCGCCACGTCCATGTCCACGCTCCCCTCCCCCCCGCTGCAGACAGCACCTGCCCTGGGTGCCATGTCCATGTCCCCACTCCCCCCCCCCGCTGCAGACGGCCACCTGGGCCTCCCTGCCCTGGGTGCCACGTCCATGTCCCCTGCTCCCCCCGCTGCAGATGGCCACCCTGGGCCTCCCCGCCCTGGGTACCACGTCCCCACCCCCCAACCAGGGTGCACCCGTCACCTCTCAGAGTCTGGCTCGGCTGTCCCACGGCCACGCGGCCTGTGGGTGTCACGTCCATGTCCATGTGGCCTGTGGGGGTCACGTCCATGTCCACGTGGCCTGTGGGTGCCACGCCCATGTCCACGCAGCCTGTGGGTGTCACGTCCATGTCCACACGGCCTGTGGGTGTCACATCCATGTCCACGTGGCCTGTGGGTGTCACGTCCATGTCCACGCAGCCTGTGGGTGCCACATCCATGTCCACGTGGCCTGTGGGGGTCACGTCCATGTCCATGTGGCCTGTGGGGGTCACGTCCATGTCCACACGGGCTGTGGGTGCCACATCCATGTCCACGTGGCCTGTGGGGGTCACGTCCATGTCCACGTGGCCTGTGGCTTTGGTCAGTTTCCCCCTGCCGCCTCCCCCTTTTTTCTTACCCGGGACTCCGTGGCACCGAGGGCTTTTATTTTGTGACACACACTCTGATATACCACCAAGCAAGGCCTCTGGAGCCATGGCCGTGGCGGGAGTGTCAAGGCCGGGGGTTCCAGCGGCACTGTGCACCGTGGCTGTGGAAGGGTTAGGGTTAGGGTTAGGGTTAGGGTTAGGGTTAGGGTTAGGGTTAGGTTAGGGTTAGGGTTAGGGTTGGGTTAGGGTTAGGGTTACGGTTACGGTTGGTTTAGGGTTAAGGTTAGGGTTAGGGTTAGGGTTAGGGTCAGGGTTGGGTTAGGGTCAGGGTCAGGGTTAGGGTCAGGGTTGGGTTAAGGTTAGGGTTAGGGTTGGTTTAGGGTTAGGTGTTGGGGTCAGGGTCATGTCCGGGTCAGAGTTAGGGTGTGAAGGTCAAGGGTTCCAGCAGCATTGAAGGCTGGGTGTTCTGGCGTTGGTCCTCCCTGAGCTCCGCCCCTCTGGCTTGGTTGTGCAGCACACCCAGGTGCCCAGGCCAGAGCCCAGCAGTAGTGTCTCCAGGGCTTGGGTCCAGGCCCATGTGGGAGACCCGGTTAGAGCCCCTGGTTTGGCCTGGCATAGCCCGGGCTGTTGCCGGCACGGGGGGTGGGGGGACCAGCACATGGGGGCTCTCTGTTTCTCTGCCTTTGAAATGCGGTGGAAATAAGTGGAAGTTAACAAAAACAGGCAGAGGGCCAGGGCCCCGCCCCACCCTGCTCAGGCCCCTCGCGCCCGTCCAGCCGCACAGGAGCCCCCCGGAGTGCCGCGGCCCACCCTCCGGGCCACCCAGTGGGTGGATTATTCCAGCAAGTACGGCTTCGGCTACCAGCTGTCGGACGGGGGCAGTGCCGTCCTGTTCCGGGACGGCACCCACATGGCCCTGCGGCCCCCTGCAGGGTGAGCTGCAGCCTGCACAGGGCGTCCATGAGTGTGTACATGCATGTGCGTGTGTGTGCACGGCTGAGTGAGCGTGTGCATGTGTGTGCACGTGTGCGTGTCTTCCTGTCTGAAGAGAGACAGCTGAGGTGGCAGGGAATGGGGGGGGAGGGGCCGTCAGGAGGGAACCCACAGGGACCGGCATCGTGACACCGGGCGCGCACCTGCAGCCCCCGGGGGGTTGGGGGAGGGCACAGGGCCTCCTGGGGCTCGGCCGGGCTCCCACCCGTGTCAGGTTTCCCGCAGTGCCGTGGCCTGGGATTGGACTTGGCCGCGAGGCAGGAAGCTGGGGGGGGGGCCTCTGGGGGCAGCGGCAGTGGCGCTGGCGGCGGTCAGCGTAGAGCCGGCCGGGACGGGGGCCCTGACCGCGGGCGCCCCCGCCCACGCCCCCTCCAGCCAGGTCTGCTACCTGCCGAGCCGCGGGCGGCTGGAGACCTTCACCCTGAGGGACGTGCCGAGCCCGCTGGGCGCCAAGCTGGCCGTGCTGCGGCTCCTCACCCACTACCTGCGGCGGCGGCGGCGGCGGGAGGTGAGAGGGGGAGGGGGAGGTGTGGGGGGGGCCGGCCCTGGCCCTGGCCCTGGCCAGCCGCCTGGCTGAGTGTGTCCACAGGGGGGCGCCCTGCCCGCACCGGTGCCGCCCGCGGGGCCCGGCCTCTGCCTGCTGCGCTTCCTCTCGTCCCAGCGGGCCCTGCTCCTGCTGTTCAGCGACGGCACCGTGCAGGTGAGCCCCGCGGCGGGCGGGGGGGCTCCAGGGCTGGGCCGCACCGGGGTCACAGCACCCCGGGGTCACAGCACCCCGGGGTCACAGCACGGGGCGGGCCGGCAGGTGAGCCCCGCGGGGGGCGGGCGGGGGCTCCAGGGCTGGGCCGCACCGGGGTCACAGCACCCCGGGGTCACAGCACCCCGGGGTCACCGCACTCCGGGGTCACAGCACCCCGGGGTCACCGCACCCCGGGGTCACCGCACGGGGCGAGGAGGCAGGTGAGCCCCGCGAAGGGCGGGGGCTCCAGGGCTGGGCCGCACCGGGGTCACAGCACCCCGGGGTCACAGCACCCCGGGGTCACCGCACTCCGGGGTCACAGCACCCCGGGGTCACCGCACCCCGGGGTCACCGCACGGGGCGGGGCGGCAGCAATCCCCCCAGGGCTCTGGGTCCCTGCCGGCTCGTCCTCCCAGGCCCAGGGTCGCCTGTCCCCCTGACCTCGGCTCCCCCGCAGGTCAGCGGCAGCGCGGCCCACACCCAGGTGGTGCTGAGCGGCCAGGGCGAGGGGCTGCTGCTGACCCGAGCCGGCGCCTCGGCCTCGCTGGACGGCCCGCGCCACGGCTGCCCCCCGGCCGCCCGCCAGCTGCTGGGCCTCGCGCTGCGCTTGCTGCGGAGCGCGCGCCCCGAGGGAGACGTCGGGGGGCGCCGCACGCGGCGGGCGGGGGCTGCCCCGCACCGGGCCGGCCCAGCCGGGACTCCGCTCCGCTTTCATTAAAGAGGGGCTGGTCCGAGCCCGTGGCCTGCTGTGTGCCTCTGTGCGTGCGTGCGCGTGCGCGGGGGCAGGAGCCCGCCAAGCCCCTCCTGCGGCTGAGGCTGCCGCCCCCACGTGGCACCCACGGGAACAGCGACAGCACAGACAGACGGCGCTGGCCCCGGGGCGGGCAGCGTCAGGCCCCCCCACTCCGCCGCTGAGACCCGGCAGCGCTGGAGGTGCCGCCCACCTGCCCTGTGAGCCCCCCACGGCTGGGAGGCGGGGTCTCTGCCCCCAGGTTTCCTGATCAGCCCCTCCCAGCCGCCGACGCCCCCCATTCCTCGTCCTCAGCACCGGTGCCCCCCCACGGCAGAGTGTGGTGGGGGTGACGTGCCCGGCCCAGCCCCAGAGCCCCTTGGCGACGCCCACAGCCAGGGACGCCCACAGCCAAGGACGCCCACAGCCAGGGACCCCCACAGCCTCGTGGCTGACACCCGTCCCCCTGGGCCCTCACAGCGTTCCTGGATGACCCCCGCCCATTTGCAGTTGGCTTAGGGCACTCACTCGTCCCCTCCTGCGTCACCGTCGGGGCCTCTGCCCGCCGTCCCTCGCCTCTCCCTCCGTTCACCCAGCACAGACCCCCGCTGCACCTGCTGGCCCCGCCCCTCCCCAGGCCTCCCTCGCACCCCCCATGCCTGACCCAGCCTCACCATCACCCACGCGCACCACCGAGGCCTCTCGGGGTCCCAACAGCTCAGCAGTCATCTCTCGCGGGCCCTGACCCCCGTGGGCCCTCAGGTGTCCAGCACTGTCTCCCCCCAGGACAGGACTGACCACAGGCCCCCCGGGCATGGCCGCCCAGCCACTGCTCAGATCCGCTGCAGGTCTGTCTCCCGCGGCTCCCTCCCCCACACAGCCCCGTGTCTGCAGCTCCAGGACTGCAGGGAGAGGCCCCCCTCCCCTGCTCAGTGTATATGGGGCGCACAGGGGCGCACGCACGGGCACACGCGAGGTGTATACAGGTGCACACAGCGGATTGTGGGGTCCACAGGGCACGCAGGCAGACGTGGGCGTGTCCACAGGGCACACAGGCAGACGTGGGCGTGTCCACAGGCCACACAGGCAGACGTGGGCGTGTCCACACGGGATACAGGGGGCACACAGGCAGACGTGGGCGTGTCCACACAGGATACAGGGGGCACACAGGCAGATGTGGGCGTGTCCACAGGGCACACAGGCAGACGTGGGCGTGTCCACAGGGGCACACAGGCGTCCGAGCCTGGGTCACGAGGCGGGGTCTGGACCGCGTGGAGGGGCGTTCGTGGCCGTGGCGGGGCCTGGGTCAGGAGGCGGGGCCTGGACCGCGTGGCCGAGCCTGGGCCACGTGGAGGGGCGTTCGTGGCCGTGGCGGGGACGCGCAGCCGCTGCCCCGCCCCCGAGGGGGCGTTGACTGCCTGACCGCCTCCCTCCCGCACGCCGAGAGCTTCCGGAATCTTCCGCAGGGTCTTCGTGGTGTACCTCGACGTAAGCCTGGCAGCCTCAGGTTTTTGGGGAGGGGGGTGCCGACCGGTGAAAGAAACCGCGGAGACAGCAGTCAGCTCGGAACCCAGGGGAACCCCCCCCCCCGCCCTGCAGCAACAGCCGCGCTCATTGGTCCGTGAGGACCATGTGACACGTGCCTCCTCCAACCACAAGCGAGCAAGGCGGGGCCGGGGCGGCAGCACCACCCCCCGGCGGCTGTGATTGGCTGCTGTCATGGCAACCCAGGGGCGGCCCGCTGAGCTTCCCAGGGTCAGGGCTGAGCGGAAGTGGAGCAGCCGGGACTCGAACCAGCGCCCACATGGGATGGTGGACAGCGCCGGCCCCTCCAGGGAGCTTTTACAACACCACAGAGTCTGGGGTTAACACCAAGACAGACTCGGAGACGCGTGCAGCGTGTGATATTTAGAAACGGCGCCGTTGTAGACATGCAGGGCGGTCAGCGGTCACCGCAGTGTGGGCGGCGATGGTGTGGACACACGGACGACCGGGTAGCGGACCTGTGTGGCCACAGGCCAGCGCCGAGGCTCAGCCTGAGCCCTGGTTCCGGTCCAGGCGGTGATGGCCCAGTGCTGGGCCCCTGCACCCCCGTGCGAGACCCGGAGCTCCCGGCTCCTGGCTTCAGGTGAGCACAGCTCTGGCCACTGCGGCCAACTGGACAGTGACCCAGCGGATGCAAGACCGCTCTCTCTCTCTCTCTGCCTCTCTCTAACTCTTTCAAATAAACAAGTAGATCTTTAAAAATACCGTAATGAATAATCGCCCCCAAACGCCGTCAGGCCCAGCAGCCAGGGGCTGGATCCTGCTGGATCCCAGGTTGTGCCCCACAGGGCTGCGTCCCCGCCCCTCCCATGCTGGGCCCTCGCCCCAGTCCCCGTCCCGTGTCCTGGGGCCCCGCCCCCTCAGTGCAGGTCCCCAGACACTGACCAGGTGCCCCGCAGGTCACAGCTGTGAAGACCCCAGAGCCCTGGGAACCGCAGGTGCAGGGCGGGGTGCTCTCCACCCCGACGCCGGGCTGCCCGCCCTTCCTCCAATCAGCGTCCACGGAGCGGCCCGCGGGCGGGGGCAGGGGGCAGGGGCAGGGCCGGGCTGGGGGCAGGGGCAGGGCCAGGGCAGGGGCAGGGGCAGGGGCAGGGCCAGGGCAGAGCAGGGGCAGGGCCGGGCCAGGGCAGAGCAGGGGCAGGGCAGGGGCAGAGCAGGGGCAGGGCCGGGCCAGGGCAGAGCAGGGGCAGGGCCGGGCCAGGGCAGGGCAGGGCAGGGGCAGGGCAGGGGCAGGGCCGGGCCAGGGCAGGGCCAGGCCAACCTCGCCGGCCGCAGGAGGCGAGTGTCATGCGCAGCGCCAGCCGCACGGTGGCGACAGAGGACGCGTCCCTCTGGTGCCAGGGGCCGCGAGGGGTCCAGGCCTGGCCCAGGCCGGGCAGGGAGCAAACCCACCCCGGGAACGGGGAGACCCGAAGCGCCCCCCGCATGCCTACGCACCCCTGGCCCCTCACCTGGCTTCTTACTCCCCCCGTCTTCCTCCGGGCTGCAGGGTCAGGGTCAGGGTTCCTCCCTACTCCGTTTCCCTACTTAGAGTCAGGGTCAGGGTCAGCGGTCAGCGGTCAGCGTAGAGCTGCTCCCAGCAGGCTCTGCGTCCCCTCCACTCCAGCCCTGAGGGCTGCACCTGCCGGCCCCCCAGCTCAGCCCTCGGAGGGAGCGAGGGGGGCCTGGGGAGGGGCGCGTCCCCAGCTGCCAGAGTGGACGCCACTCAGCTCAGGACCGGGCGGGAGTCCCCCAGGGGACAGCCTGCTCCACCCCCCCAGAGGCACGAGGGGGCGGGGCCTGGACCCCAGCCCCTCCCACAGCACGCGGAAGCCGAGCGCTCACTGGATACAAAGACTTTATTAAGAAGGCTTTGAAGTCAAAAAATAAAACTCTGAATACAATTTTTAACCCTTAAATCCGCTCAGCAAATATATAATCAGTAATTTAGCTGTGTAAGATTAAACGTCCATTGTTTATTTAAAATAAAATATATTTTAGTTCTTAAAATTTACTCCATAAAGTACATATTCCCCTATAAATTTCCTACATATACACAAGAGGTAAAAAGTAAAAAAACAAAAACATTTAAAAAATTTTTAAAAAATGACAACAGAAACCACAGCGGGAATGGGAGGGTTAATTTAAAAAAAAAAAAGTCAGAAACCCCGGGTGGGTGGGGCACCCTTGCCCCCCCCCTTGCGCGCCCCGCGGCCCCCCCCGGGGGGGGGCGGAATAAAAAGTGCACGCGGGGCGATTCGTGCGGTTTATTGTCACGGCTCTCAGCTCTGCTGCTCCGAGCTCCCGCCGGGCCTCCGCGCCGCGTCCACGCCTGGGTCCGAGTTAAAGCTCCACCATGGTGCCCGGCCCGGCCCGGCCCCCGCAGACCCAGCCCCAGCCCCCGGCCCGCCCCGCCCCGGCCCGGCCCCGCCGCCCCAGCCCCCGGCCCGCGCTAGGAAAAGATATGGATGGCCTGGGTGGCCGGCGTGCGGCACGCGGGGCACTCGGGCGCGCTGGTGCCGCAGATGCGCACGGCGCAGTCCATGCAGAAGAGGTTGTGGCCGCAGGGCACCAGCGCCGCCATGGCCTCGCCCTCGGCGCACACCACGCACTCGCGCGCCGGGGCGGCGGGAGCTGCGGCGCCCGAGGACGCGGGTGCCGGTGCGGGTGCGGGCGTGGGCGCAGCCGGGGCCGGCGCGGCAGGCTTGCGGCTGCCCTCGCAGGTGCCGGAGTCCAGCGTGGCGGTGGCCGCGGCGAAGCCGGCGCCGCCGGAGAAGGCCAGCGGGTTGTGCGGGGCCCGCCAGGGCAGGGCGCCCACGGGGTCGGGTGCGGGGCGCCGCGCCAGCGGCAGCTCCAGGCCCAGGCCGGGCTCGGGCAGCGTGGGCGAGTGGCGCGGGATGCCCGGGCCGCTGCTGCGGCGCGCGCCCCCGGCCAGCGTCGGCGGCGGCGGAGCGGGCGCCCCGTTGACCGCCGAGCAGCTGCCGAAGGCGGGCAGGGGCGCGGCGCGCTCGAACGGTGCCCAGATGGTGGCCGCGGCGGGCACGGTCAGGTCCAGCGCCAAGAAGTCGAAGCCGAAGTCGGCGTCGTCCGTCCCCGCGGGGGCCCCGGGGCCGTCGCCGCCGAACGTGAAGCCCCCGTTGCCCGAGCCGCCGCCGCCGCCGTAGGGGCTGGCGGGGCCCGGGTCCAGCCCGGGCGCGCCCCCGCGGCTGCTGGCGTAGAAGGGCTCAGGGGCGCCGTCCCCGCGCAGGCCGGCGGGGGCGGCGGGTGGCCGCCGGCCCCCGGGGGGCGCCTTGGCCCAGAGGCTGGCCGCCGCCCCCAGCAGGTCCAGGCACACGTCCGTGCCGTTGGCGTGGAAGTCGCTGTCGGCGCCCGCGTCCGGGAGCGCGCGCGTGCGCAGCGTGATGTGCGCCTCAATCTCCTCGCGCGCGCGGTCCACGTTCTCGGGCATGCCCGTGACGGCGAACACGGGCTCCTTGTCGCGGCCCGGCGTCACGATGTACGTGTGCGTCCTCTGCTGGATGCGCTTGATGGTGGCGCCCTTGGGCCCCACCACCAGCCCCACCACGCGGTAGGGCACGCGCACTTGGATGGTGGTCTGTCCCGGCAGGTTGGGCGGGCCGGGGGCGGCGCCGGGCAGCCCGCCCGCCTTGCTGCGCGTGGCGCGGATGAGCGAGAAGTGCTCGGCGGCCGACAGGATCTCGCGCTTGGCCATGTCCACGTCCTCCTTGCGGCCGGTCACGATGAACACGGGCTCCTCGCCGCGCACCGGCGTCTTGATGTACGTGTTGGTCTTGGCGCGCAGGGCCTTGATCTTGCACCCTGCGGGGCGAGGGGAGACGCAGGGGGTCGCAGGGGCGCCGGCCACCGCCCGGGCCCCACTTTCCCCTGTGCGCGGAGCTGTGGTCACCCCGCCAAGCGAGGCCTCTGCTGTCCCCACCCGCCCCCTCCACATGCGGGGTCCTGCGCCCGGGGAGGGAGAGGGGCGAGGCGCCATGTCCAGGCCTGGGGCCCGGCTGAGAGCCCCCCTCCCCGAGCCACCTGCACCCCTTCCCGGGTTCCAGGCCGGCAGCTTCCCGCTGACGCGTGCAGAAGCAGGGGCCAGGGCCCCCTGGGGTGCCCAGGACCCTCCCCCGCAGCCGGGCGCGGGAGCACCGCCCTGCCAGCACCCCCTAGACCCTCGTGGTGCAGACCCCCAAGTTGCTCAGCTGGGGCGGCCCCAGGCCCAGATTTGCACCCCCCGCCCTGCGCTGGATCAGGATGCCCCGCCCCTCCCCACCCCCTGCCGCTGGGGGAGGCCGACTGAGCTGGGACTGGGTGTACAGAGCCCCCTGGGGAGGGTAACACTGTTGCTAACCTGGTGGGGGGAACCAACCCAGCTGCCTCCGTACTTCTGACAGCCAGTCCAGGGACTGGGGCCGGCAGGAGGCTGGGGTGTGGCAGCCAGGGTCCTGGGGGGCAGCGGCCCCCAGCCTGGGCTCTGCACAGGGCCTGTGGCTCTCCTGGGGGCAGCGAGGGTGCACCCGGCAGCCACCTGTCCTCCCAGCCTGGGGCTGCCTGGAGCCAGCCTGGAGGGTCGTGGTGGTGGTCCTCATCTACCACGTCCCTGCCATGTGCGCGCTCTCCCCGCCCCCCCCTCAGACCCCCCCCACTCCCGTGCTGTGCTGCCTCCCACAGGAAGCCCATCGTGACTGCGGCTGGTCCACACTTCTCCTCCTCTGGGCTCTGGGGAGTTCCTGGACCGGCCCCACAGGCTGGGCGAGGGCCACTCACCCCGCTGCCGCCCAGACCCTGCGCGGGAGGTGGCACTGGGCCCTGGCTCCCGTGGGCCCCCAGGTCACAGTGTCAGGGCGGGGGCGCCCCCTCCCCAGAGTGGCGGAGGGTCCTCAGGAGAGAGGGGCGCCCTTGGCTGGACGCCCCGTCTCTGCCCCTGCCTGACCTGGGGAGCCACAGACGGCAAAACCCCGAGACCGCCACGGAGTGGGGGAGGGCAGCGGGGGGCAGAGGCCCAGGAGCAGCTGGGCGGCCCACGGCACCGTCCCCACAGGGACCCACGGAGGGGAGGCGCCAGACTGGGGTCCCCCGCCCCCGACAGCAGCACTGTCACCCCCATCCACTCCATCACTCTCATCTCCTCCACCTGTCCAGCTCTCTTCCCCCTCCCTGCCTCGACCAGCTGGGGGACAGCCCCTGGGGGGCGCTGCAGCCCCCCCCGCCCTGTCCCCGGGGGCCTGCAGGGTGTGGGGAGGGAGTGGCCACGCGGTCACACCCACAGCACGGGAGCCTCGAGGTCCAGCTGGGGGACTACCCCCTCCACAGACTTTCAGGGTTCAGACCTCAGCCCTGCCCCTACCCAGGCCCCGCCCATCACACCCTAGGCTCCTCCTCCAACACCAGGACCCGGGAGCCCGAGGCCCAGCACACAGTAGGGCTGCACTCAGGAGGGGGCGCCTGCCCCCCAGGACACCTCCGGGCTGCAGGAGAACGCAGGGGGCTGGTGAACCGCCAGCCACGCCCCCGCACCCAGAACCACTCCAGGGCTGCAAGACGGAGGTGCAGGGCCAGGGCCAGGGCCTCTCTCCCACCCTCCCTGCACACACGGGGGAAGCTCAGGGAGACCCCAGGGCGGGGCGCACGCCCCCAGGAGGGCAGCAGGCGGGGCTGTGGCACACGGAAGCTGCCTGCCCGTCCCACAGCCGAGGGGGCCAACGGTGAGCCGCGACCCGGCCACCTGAGACGGAGCCCACCGGTCCAGCCACGCGCTGCCAGCCCCCCCACCAGGCGGTGCCGGAACCGCTGCCCTCCCACAGGCCTGGGTGGCCCTCTGCTGTCCCTGTTGGGCACAGGGGCGGGGTCGCACCACAATCCAGGCCTGCCCCTCCCACTGGAGAAGACAGGGCCCCCAGCCGCACCACGCCCGCCCCACCCTGCGACCAGGCCGGGGACACACGCTGGCGGCCGCTGCCCCTCCCACCACAGCATCCCTGGGGCCTCCCCTGGTGGCCTGCAGGACAGCGACAGGTGTGACCCGGCCGCTCCGGCCGCCCACGCCTCTGCCTCCTGCCTCTGAGGACCCAGGGGCCAGGGACGGCATCCCCCACCCCACGGGCGGATGGCGGCCCGGGCCGCACCCCAAGTTCTAGAATCCGGCCGGCACCTGGGCACTGGGGGCCGGAGCCGAGGCAGGAGAAAGTTGCGGTGGGGGGTGGGCAGCTGGCAGGGCGGTGGGAGTGTGCTGGGCCCGCCGCCGCCCCGCAGCTAGCGGCCAATGAGCATTGGCCGGCCTGATGTCACCCTGCCAGTCTCGGCTTGGCTCTCGAACAAAGAGAACAATGGGCAGCCACAGGGACCCCGCACCCCGGGGTCTGCCGCGCCCCGGCCCCACTGGCGGGGCTGCAGGGGGTCGTCCCGGAGGCGACGTCCACAGCCGGCCCTCGCGCACGCCCCCAGGCCCCCGACGCGCGGCTGGCAGCGGGACCCGACAACGATGGGGGCGGGGACCCTGTCTCGCCCCGACCCGCCCCCCATCCCGGCCAGTCCGCGGCGCCCCCGAGCTGCTCCGACCCCGCGGGCGCACGCCCGGAGCCACCCGCACACCCGAGCCCGCCCCGCCGCGGCGCCCCCGGCTCTGCGCGCCCCTCTCGCCGGCGCGCACCGGGGCCGTTCGCGGCTGGAGGCGGCCCGGCGCGCGGGGGGCGGAGCGCGGGCTGCGCCCAACTTTCTCCCGCGGCCCGCGGCAGGACAAAGGCGCAGCGGCGGCCCCGGCCCGGGCCCCCGACGGCGGCCACTCACCCTGGCGCCCCACGATCTCCGCGACGTGCTCGGAGCTGGGCACCGGCACGCACTCGGTCATGTTCACGCTCTTCTTGCGGCCGCCGATCACGCACATCTGCTCCGCCAGCAGCGTCTGCGGGCCCAGCGCCGCGGGGTGGGGCGCGAAGCCGGCGAACACGTCGGGCGGCGACGGCCGGGGCGCCGGCGGGGGGCTCACGTCGGGCTCCGGCGGCGGCGCGGCGGGGGCCGGGGGGACGCCCGCCTCGGGCCCGTCGGGGGACGCGGGCCCCGCCGCCGCCGCGCCGTCCCCGCCGCCCGCCGTGCCCTCCTCGTCTGCGCTGCCCGCGGCCCCCAGCCCCAGCGCCGACAGCTGGTCCAGCGCCAGGCGCAGCGCGGCGGCCGCGTCGTCGGGCTCGGGCGCGGGCGCGGGGCCCGGGCTGGGGTCCCCGCCGGCCGCCGCCCCCGGCCCGCCCGCGCCGCCGCCGCCGTCGGGGAGGCCGCCGGGGCCGGGCATGGCCGGCGCTAGCGCTCGGGCCCGCGCTCCCGCCGCTCGGCCGCCGGCCGCCCGCGCCGCCGCCGCCGCCGCCCGCGCCGCCCTCCGCCTGTGCGAGCTCGGCCGCCGGCCGCCGGCATCCAGCGGCGGAGCGGGCGGGCGCGGGCGGCGGCGGCGGCGCGGGGCTGCTCGGGGCCGGGCCGGGCCGGGCCGGGCGGCGGCGGCGACTCTGGCTGCTGCTCGCGCGGCTGCGGCGGCTCCTGGCGGCCGAGGCGGCGGCGGCGCGGACGCTCCTCGGCTCCCGCCCGCCGCCCCCGCCGGCCCGGCCCGCCCCGCCCCGGGACGTCACGCCGCGGCCAACAATGGGCGGGCGCCAGGGCGCAGGCGCGCGGGGCGGGGGCCGGGGGCGGGGCCGCGGTCACGTGGCGCTCGGGCGGGGACCCGGCGCGCCCGCACGTGCGGGAGCGGCCGCAGGTGGGCGCCAAGCGCCGTGCGCGGGGCGGAGCCCGCAGTCCCCGCTCCCGCACACCGCCCTCCCGGGCCGGAGCCCGCTGGGCGCTGGGCTGCACCCTCCGGCCCCTGCCGACCCCCCCACTCCCAGCCCATCAGGTGTGGGCGGTGCCCCCGCGACGTCATCAAGGACCACGTGGAAACCCAGCCGCTTAGGGGGACCGGCCCGCGGGCTCCGGGAGCGGCCAGGCGTGTGCACCTGGCCCCGGTGGGAGCAGGGGCAGTGCTGGCCGGAGCCCTCCAGGCGACCCGCTGTGCGCCACCCTCAGGCCCAGCGCGAAGGCTCTGGGCGGGGCGGCCTGACCCTTCTCACTCCCTCCCTGCGCCCCGTCCCTGTCGCAGCTGTCCCCCCCACCCCGCTGGGCCATTCCCTCTCTGCGACCCTCTGTGTCTCCAGGAAGCCCTTGTGGCCCCGCTTATGGGGCGCTCAGCCTGGTCCCCGCCACACCCCTAACCGCCTTTCCTGAACCCCAGGCCTGATCCGGCCCTCAGCCCACGGGACCAGGACCTGCCCCGCCCCAGCAAGCTCGTGGCATCTCCCACCCTGTCCTGGGTGGGACACAGGGGTGCCGGGGACAGCATCAGGGGACAGCATCAGGGGTCGGGCACCTCCCACTCGGCAGCCAGTGTGGGGCGGCTGGCTCCCCCCGGGAACACGGCCCACCCATCCCCTGCGGGCAGGTGCTCACGGGAGAGCCTGGGTCCATCGCAGCCCGGGCGGCCGCACACCCTGGGGCCCCTGCACCCCCGTGGGAGAGCTGTGCTGAGTCCTGGCCGACGCCCATGTGAGGGGCGAGATGGCGGAGCTCCGTACCCCGCTTTTCAAATGAACTCACAGGCAGCACCGGCCCGTGCTGGAAGCCCCTGGCAGCGGGGGACCCGACCACCCTGGCCACGCGGGCGGCCTTGTGTGCTCGCGGCCAGCCGGACCCCGCTCCTGTTCAGTGGGAGGGGCCCTGCCCTCCACACCCCCCAGGGCTGGCACACTGGGGGTGGCGATGGAGGAGCCCTGGGTGTCTCCAGGCCAGAGGCGCTCACGGCTGGCGGCACAGCCCGGGGAGCCCCGCCCAGAGTCCTGGAAGGAGCGGGCAAAGGCGCAGGGGGATGGGGGTGGAGGCGTGGGCGCTGCGGGCGACCAGGCAGTCCGGCCGAGGTGCCCAGGATCCACGGAGGACAGGCAGGTGTGGGCCCCCGGCCCGTGGCCACTAACACTTCTTGAGGGCCTCTCACCAGGCCCAGACCCCCACGTGAGAGGGGGCGTCCAGGCCAAGTCCCCGCCAAGGCCAAGGGGTCAGGACAGGAGGCGGGGCGGCTTCCACAGGCCACGCCCCCAGGGTGAGGTCAGGGTGGGTGAAGCAGAGGGGGGTTCCTCCCCTCCCAGGGTGATGTGGGTGGCTCCGCCCCCCACCCCGGGCAGCTGGGGCTCGGACCTGAACCCTGGTACCCTGGGCTGTGGCCAGCATGGCCCCCTCCTCACCACGCAAGAACAGTGGGGGGCTGTCCCCCATCACTGCCCACCCAGCCTCCAGACACCCAGGCCCCGCCCCTGCAGGAGCAGCCCTGGCCCCACCCACAAAGGCCTCGCACCCTTCCAACCTCCAGGACAGAGACCCCAGGCTGCCACCTCCGGAGCCAGAGGCTGGCCGCCTGGCCCTCCTGCCCACACAGCGCCGGCCCCGCGGGGCCAGGGTCCGAGCCAGCCAGGACCTGTGCCTGGACCTGACCTGGGGCAGGGAAGACGCTGGGACCACGGGCGAGCGCAGCAGAGCCCTGGTCACCTCCCGTGTCCGGGGCTCGGCCCTCACGTTCACCCACAGCTGCCATGGGCCAGGGCTCGGCCCGCCCACCCCGCGGGCGCCAAGGGGTCCTGGCTGGACCACAGGTGGCCCTCTGGGGGGCTGACGGCACTCTGCCCTGTGGCTCCTCGGGCCACCCCTCCACGGCGGGGCTCCCCACCCCTCCTCGGTGTGCCCACGCTCAGTCACGCGCTGTCCAGCCCGTCCGCGTCACCCGTTTATTGAGGGAAGCGGCTGGTGGGGTGCACACTCGCTCGGGGCTCAGGCCCAGCCCAGCCGGAGAGCACCACCCAGGGGCTGGCCCGGGCAGCTCCACGCCCGCTGGGGCTGGGGGCCCCTGGGCCTCACCAACGCGACGGCGGCGGCGCCCTCGCGCGAGTCCTCGTGGCCGGGCAGGGCCCAGGAGCCGGCGGCACCTCCAGAACCCGGGTCTTCACGGAGCCGCGCCCCCGAGGGCCACGGGAGGACGACGGCCGCTCCGAGCGGAGCCGGGGGCCCTGCCTCGGGCCGGGCAGCCTGGTCCCGCGCGGCCGCTCCGAGGCGAGCTGGGGCCCTGCAGCAGGGGCTCCTGGGCGGGCGTCTGGAAGAGCAGGCAGGGGTGCTGTGAGCGCGCGGGCTGGCCCCGCCCACGCCACGCCCACCCCGGCCGGCCGGCGCTGAGCCGCACCTGCCCTACGCCTGCTCCAGCTCCCGGTCCTGCTCAGCCTCGTCGTCGTCCTCGTCGTCGTCGTCGTCCTCGTCGGCGCAGGCCTTGTCCAGCGGGGCCTCGCCGTCGCGGGCCAGCTCCTCCACGTGGGCCAGCATGTCGGCCATCAGCGCCTCCTCCAGCCGCTTCCGCACCTGCTGCACCAGCTCCTCCTGCTTCCTGGGGACGCACAGGGCCCTCACCGGGGCGCCGGGCAGCTGGCCCGCCGCAGGCCGGCCCCGCGGCCCCCCCCCCCGCGTGTCTCCCGCTGTGCGGCAGCGCCCGGCCCGGCCCCCGCCACGCCCGTGGCTCGGAAGCCTCCGTCCTGCCTTGCAGTCCCCGGGCCGCGGTGAGAGCCTGCAGCGGCCTGACCCGCAGACGCAGCGCCCGCAGGCTCCTGCGCGCAGTCGCGGTCGCGGTCGCAGGGTCGGGGCGGAGGCTCAGGGAGATGAGAAACTCCAGGGCCGAGCCCCTCCCTGCCCGGCCTGGCTCCGGGCACTTTGCAGGGGGCGGCAGGCAGCGGGGGGTCAGCACGCCTGCGCCCCGCTCGGGAGGGCTGCCACTCCGGCCCCAGCTCCCTGCTGACAGACCGCGGTCGGCTGCGCCCTCTGCCTCTCCGCCCCTCCAGCCCGCGGCGGCCGCCGACCTCTTCCCGGCCCCGCACCCCGCCAGGGTGGCGCGTTCCTGCCGATCCAGACTGGGGCTGGGCCCGGAGCGCCCAAGGGCCCCCAGGGCGGGGCCGGCACGGCTCCTCCCTGCGGCCCCTCCCACGGGGAGGCGTGGCTACCTGATGTCCTCGTCGGTCACCATGAAGGCCTTGCACAGGGGCTGCGTGGTGTTCAGCCACACGCCGGGGTTCTTCTCCACGGCCGCCGAGAGCTGCCCGGTGATGGGCATGGTGCTGGTGTGCAGGGCGCTGGCGATGGCTGACAGCAGAGTCTCGTCCGTGCAGCCGGGCCCCACCCCTAGGCGGCACGGGCAGGTGGCGCGGCGGCCCGGACTTCCAACCGCACCCCCCGCCTCCTCCCCAAGGTCAGCGCGCTTACCCTGCAGGCCTTTGGGCAGGTCCATGGTCTTGACCAGCTCCTCGGCGATGTCGAACGCGTTCAGGCCGCTCAGCTTCTTCTCCCAGAAGAGCTGCGGGGCGAGGCTGGGTGAGGGCGGCGCGCGCCCCGCGGCATGGGCACAGGCACGGCACGGGCGCGCGCGGACCGCGGCGGGGGCGGGGCGGGGGGCTCACCTGGCGCGGCTGCTCCACCGCCTTCTGCGGGTCGCTCTTCACCTTGTTGCTCGGGTGGTTGGTGATCTTGGTCACCGGCTGCTTGAAGATGGAAGCCGTCTGCCGCACGGGGAGCGCCGTGTTCAGGTCGGGCTTGCCCTGCGGAGACCGGGCGCTGCAGCGCGGCCACGGCGCGGGGGCCGCCAGGGCGGCGGGCGGCGGGCGCTCCCGCGCGCACAGCCCCGGCCACGTCCGCGCCATGCGGGGAGGAGCAGGGAGCGATGGGAGCGCGGCCCCGCGTCACGCTGACGTCACGCGCGCTCACCTTGACCTGGTTGGACGAGTCGTAGCGCACGCGCTGCCGGCTCTTGGCCATCTTGCCCAGCAGCATCTTGCCCGTGCGGAAGTCGAAGGTGCTCAGGTCCATGGAGCCGCCCAGGTAGCGCGCCAGCTGCGGCTTGCTGCGGAACTTCTTGCCGCTCGGGCTGCGGGCACAGGCGCGGTCGGCGTGCGCCCCAGCGGCCGCGCGCCCGCCCCAACACTCCGGAAGCAGAAGGGGCAGCCGCGAGGCCGGGCAGGGGGCGCCTGACGCCCCCCACCGCCACCACCACGCAGTCTACGCGGGCGACTCCACACCCGGGTCTGCCCACGAGCGCGCGCGCGCGCAGGCTTGCGGCCGCTCAACTCCGCGCGGCCAGGAAACCGGCCGGGGTCCGACCCTCGCTGCGCGCCCAGGGGCTCCGCAGACCCAGGTACCACCGGGGGCGCTGGGGGCGATTCGGAGCAGGGCTGCGCAAGCCACCAAAATAAAACGGAGCC